CCACCAACTGCTTGGCCCCCCTGGCCAAGGTCATCCATGACAGCTTTGGCATCGTGGAGGGACTCATGACCACAGTCCATGCCATCACTGCTATCCAGAAAACCGTGCATGGTCCCTTTGGGAAGCTGTGGCGTGACGGCCGAGGGGCTGCCCAGAACACCATCCCTGCTTCTACTGGGGCTGCTAAGGCTGTGGGCAAGGTCGTCCCTGAGCTGAACGGGAAGCTCACTGGCATGGCCTTCCGTGTCCCTACCCCCAATGTGTCGGCTGTGGATCTGACCTGCCGCCCAGAGAAAGCTGCCAAATACGATGAAATCAAGAAAGTGGTGAAGCAGTCATCAGAGTGCCCCCTCAAGGGCATCCTGGACTATACTGAGGACCAGGGTGTTTCCTGCGACGTTAACAGTGATACCCACCCTCCCACCTCTTTTTTTTTTTTAAAGATTTTGATTGGGGAATTGGGGGATGGGAACAGTGCTGGGGAATTGGGGGAAGGGGAACAGACAAGTTGCTGTCTTTTTGGCACCATCATTGCACTCTTCCCGGGCGAGGCAGATCAGTCGCCGGCTTCTGGACCGCCACTCACGGCAGCTGCTGGCCGCTCACGCTGCTGCTGGCTGCTTGCCATACACGGTAGCCCATGGCAACCCACTGCAGCAGTGACTGCAGCCTATGCTGTCGACTCCAAGTTGAGCTGTTGTTCAGCATCTCAGCTGTGGAGGGCAGTGTCACTGGCCTTCATATGTGGGATCCAAACTGGGGCCCTCTGGAGTCCCAAGCCAGTTCTTAACCAAGGCGCCACTCGGCCGGCTCCCCACTCTTCCACCTTTGATGCTGGGGCTGGCGTTGTCCTCGACAACCACTTTGTCAAGCTCATTTCCTGGTATGACAATGAATTTGGCTACAGCAACAGGGTGGTGGACTTCATGGTCCACATGGCCTCCAAGGAGTAAGAGCCCCCGGACCACCAGCCCCAGCGAGAAGAGAGGCCCTCAGCTATCAAGGAGTTCTTTTTCCAAATTGATCCCCTAACACACTGAGAATCTCCTGACCTCCAGTTTCCATCCCAGACCCCCTGAAGAAGGGGAGGGGCTGAGGGAGCCCTACCTTGTCATGCACCATCAATAAAGTTCACTGTATCCAGTCAAAATAAATAAATAAATAAATAAAAATAAAAATACTAAGTGTGTTG